TGTGGGATTAATATGGGGGGAATGAACATTGAGCATTTAGCAAAATTCAATTTTTTAAAAAATAAAAAGTATGAATATATTAATAAAACACCAAGGAGGTGCAGCTCATATACAAAAGTATTTACATATTCATTAAGCAATCAATCATATACTCAAAATCTTCCACCGTATACAAATCACGCCTAATAATAAAGAACAAAAAAGATGGAACCATCTATTTCTATTATTAGTAATGTCACTTTCCATCGTATTAAAAACTCTCCTATTTCTTTCTTTCCAAATAATCCAAAAAACAGTCAAAGAGATTAATATAGTTAACTTTTTATTCTTTTTACCAATCCCAACCCAAGCCCACAGTTCCTCCTTGGCCGTAACCACCATTACCCAGCTCACTCCCAAAAGGTTAAATATCATAGACCATTGTAGAGTAGTATCCTGCTATTGTACACAACTCGGGTTTGATTCCTGGCGGGTGCACAGCTATGAAGATAAGCTAAAGTGACAGATGAGTCCGTCACAGCTGTCTGATAATTCTTGACTGACAGCAAGGGCCGTCTGAGCTCTTCCATTTGCAAATTCAATAAGATGTAATAAACTTGCATGACCGTTACATCTTTAGGAACCCCGTTGGAAGGTAATCTAAGGAGTAGGGTTTTTTTGGATGTGGTGGAGGATAAAGTGGCTAATTGTCTATTCTTTCTAAGGACTAGGGTAACCTTAATCTAGATTTGTCTCTCTAGCATACCACTGTACTTCTTATTACTGTTTAGGATTTCAGTTGGAGTAGCAGAGAGAATAGAAGAGTGCATGAGAAGGTTTCTTTGGCAGGGTGGGGGAGGAAAATTAGGATCATCTAGTAAGGTGAGAAGGATGTTGCTAGTCCAAAAGTTCAGAGGTGTTGGGCATTTGAAATCTCATATTAAAAAACTTATTATCAAAGGCAAAATAGCTTTGACGCTATCTATGAGAACCAAACTCTTTGTGGCACAGGATGGTGAAAAGTATTCATGGTAGTGGAGGGGCCAGATGTCTTAGCAAGAAGGTACTTTACTCACAACAGTCCTTGGAAAGCGATCTCTCAAGCCTTGAAAAGTATCTGTGGAAGGGGCTGGCTGGGGTTTCTTAGTAGGAAGGTAATTTACCTGCTACAGTCCTTGGAAAGCCATCACTCAAGTCTATTCGTTGTTCATACCTCTAGCCTAAATTCAAGTAAGAGATGGCACTAGAGTGATTTTCTAGGGGATACCTGATGGGGGATCAACTTTTGGCCACCCGACTTTCCAAATTATTTTACCTATTAGTTAGACATAACACCCCTGTTTCTTCTTTTGCTTCTAATGCAGAGGGAAGAGTGGCTTGAAACTTCTGTTTTACCTGTAATCTATTGATAGAGAGACTTCTGATGCGCATTTTTGAGTCGTTTGGAGATAATCTGTATTTCTCCTCAGCCTGATTCCAATTTGGTCCCATGAGCTCTCAGGGTTATACACAAGCAAGTCCTTTTCTGACCACCTCATAGAATTCCCAACAAGAAGCCCCATACCTATTGCCAAGATATTTTGGAAAGTTTCAGTTCCCTGAAAGGTAAATGTGTTTACATGAATAACAATTCATTGAAGGATCAATGTGAATGAGATATGGCATATCTGTCAGTCTAATTGAGCTTTATCTCCAGGCACCTATGTCATGTGTTTCACAAGTGGGGACACAGATTCACACTTATTCCTCTACTGTGAAACATCCTGGAAAGCTCTGGACCAAGTTGATTCACATGTTTGGGCTTAGTGGAAAGCTTTTATTGTTCATGCGTTCACAGGGTAAGGGTGAGGAAGGGGGAGGGCAATCTTTGCTGGTCTATGAGTTACTTCGCATGAGAGGAACTGCATGATCTTTGAAAGACCACTATGCCCCCTCTGAGTAAGTTTTGGGATAGAACTACCTTTCTAGACATGTTATGGGCCAAGGCATATGGAAATTACTCTGATATACTCATCTCAAAACTCCATCAAAATTGTGGTGCTAGCATTTCCATCTCGTAGGATGGGATCAATTTTGTACTTTCCTGATGTTGTGATATTTTGCTATGCCTCATCTTTTGATTTTGTTATTCCTTTCTCTCTCATATTAACAAAGAAATTGTGTATTCGTTCAATATGTATCATATCTTCACTGACATTTGCAAATTTAGTCTTTATTTTCAACAACTATACATATTCTTTTTGTGTATGGAGTAATATAGATTTAGAAAATAAAAACTTAAAATAGTTCTTTGCAACTAAGCAGGACCCTATGGTTTTATATATATGTCTATTCTTTGCTCTTTTCTTTTAAGTAGGTTGCTTTATGTCCTTTGATTCTTCTGAGCAACACAGACAATCCCTTTTTTACCAGGATTTACAGGCTGAAATATATAGATTGCCCAGCTTTTTCCTTCAATCTGCTCCCTTCAGAAACAACATTTTGTCTATTATTTTCAGGACCCTAAGTTTTGGACATATAGACCATTCTCCGAGCTCATGGTCCGTGCAGCTACTGATGATGTCCGGTTTCTTCTCTACATATATCACAAGATGATGGAAAAGCTGAATGAACGATCCCTATGGTACCTTGCAGTTCGTGGTGCACTTTACTGTCGATGTTTCTGCATCTGTGATAATGATTATGTTGATTGGCCACCTCTCCCTCCCATTTCAGGTTATATTTTGAAGTACCATAGGCCGTATCCATTATAATTGTTCCATTGTAATGTTTGTCTGGGGAATGATTTTTTGGTCAGTTTATTGATTTTTTTTTTTCCATTTTTTAGAAGGTGGGTTTCTTGATTGTATTGTTCATTATGCATGTAGATGTTACTCTCAGAAATGCCATCTATTAAGTTGCTTTGTATTAGCTTATCAAAAGTGGTTATGAAATGTGTGCCCTGACATGCATGATATATGATGTAAGCCTAAATATATCCAGTGATGCTTTGAGCATTTCTAGTTAAAGAGCGAATGTGCATTTAGAGTTTTATGGAAGTGGTTGATAAGTGCCTGTAGGGTAGAAATACCAAGGGAGAGAAATCTGTCAAATTTGGCATTACTCCCTGAACATCTGAGGCGTTCCTATATCTATCCTTTTGATGTTAATTTTTTGGGTGCTATATTGAACTTTGATGGATTCATCACCAATATATGAAAATACATAAGGAATGTATCTTGCCAGAAGTTTTGCAGTAGAACTCAAAAGTTTTAGTTGAATACTTTGTAGATAACCTAATTGCAGAAGGAAATCTTCTTGAAGAAGAAAACCTCTCAGTTCTTGATGTTCCCCCTGGAAAGATGGGCTGTGTAATTGGACGAAGAGGAGCTTCCATCTTGTCAATAAAGGAATCTTGCAAGTATTTCTCTCTTTCTCTCTCTCTCTCTCTCTCTCTCTCTCACAGTCTCACTCACACACCAATGAAGGCACATGCATGCATGTGCACTACTTTTGTTTCCTTGGTTGGAAAATTTTCAATTTTGTTTTTCCCATGGAATTAAATTCTTGTGCAGTGCGCAAATCTTCATCGGCGGCACCAAAGGTCCACCTGACAAGGTTAGTCTGTCATATCTGCAATAATTCAATGGTAGTGCTTGGCTACTGATATATATTTTCTTAACCTGTTATTGAGAAAATGCAGTTAGCATTTGATTGGTACAATATTAGGGGGCTGATAAAACTTGGATAATTTGACAAGCACTAACACTTGTAATTCTTAAATGTTACTATTTTTCTTAAGGAGTAGAAGGTTTTGTGAATTTTCTTTTGAGAAAAATAGAATAGCATAAAAGGCACCATGACAATGCTAGGCTATGTAAAACAGAATGACAAAAGAGGCTCGACTAAAACTTTGAAGGGTATTCTTACTTTTTGTCATTGTATTAATAACAGGTGTCATGTCAATTTTCTTATCATTAATTCTTTCATTCTTTTACAAATCTAAACAATATATACACTGAAAATGATTCTTTTTCCTTTGTAATTTTGTTGTTTTAGTCATCAGAACAGAAGAAACACATTTCCTTTCTTTAAAATTAATCGCTTTCTTTTTTCATTCCTTTCTATTCTTTATTCAAATATAGTGTTAGCATTGCTGGTTAATCTATGTTGTTTAGATGTTAGTTTGTAATCTGGTTAATCTATCATATTGAATTGCTGCTAGAAGTATTTTATTTTAGCTGGAGTTTTATAGTTATTATATTTAATTAGGATTTTCTTTATCTAAACTTCTATTTTAGATATTTTTCCTATTGATTTATTCTAGTAAAGTTAGAATTTATAGACACCATATAATTACATGAGTTATTTAACATTACTTCTAAGACTATTATGAATAGTAGACAAAAAGATTGTTATCAAGGAAGCTACTGGTATTCTCTCATTAGTTGAATGCCTGACAACCCTATTCTGCTTTTCTGTTTCATTTTTCTTGTCTGTTTAAACTTTATTGGTCTGTGCTATATCGTAATCAATAAAGCAAAAATCTAGATGATGTTGGACAAAATAGGGTCAAGTACATCAATCTTAGGTGAGATAACGCTCTCCTGTAAAGTTGGTGGCTCGAGTTAGAGTATTATCCCTTGCTCCATTCTGAAAAAAAATGTAGAATAAATTTAGGAATTCCTAGATATTGCACCTAAGGATTAGGAAAAAATAATAAATTAACTAGGAGTCACATCTAAACTTGCTTAAACTATGTTTATATTGAAGGAAGTTAAGATAAAAGAAATGAGATCATGGAATATTCACCATCCCTTTCACTTGCTTGGATAGTAAAAGAAGGAACAATGAATATCCTCCTTTTCAAGCCCAAATTAACCCTTGCACGCAGAGATGACATTGGAATAGGATAAAGTACATCTAACCGAAGATGAGGTTCTTTATTCGGGTTGGAGAATCAAGAAGTCATCATTTAAACATAGCTGACAAGACACTTCAACTGCCTTGTTCCCCTTTCCAACAACCAACCTCGAGAAAATATGTTTCTCCCTGCCTCTTTTGGTAACTTCCTCCTTGGCAATAAGTACGTGAATGCACTCAACAAAGCTTGTCAGACGGAGTTCAATAATCGGAAATGTTTGGGATAAGAACAATGAAGGCAAATCTCCACTGCAGGAAAGCCATGTCAAAACCTTTAGGGCCTAGTGCTTTATTGAGAGTATTGTTGGATTGTAACAATAAATGTTAGTAGGAGAATAAATTTTAGAGTTAGTATATATGAAGGGTATTTGAAGTTTTCAAAATGATATAATAAATAGGCTGAAAAAAGTCAACTAACAATAAACCAGCTGTTTGTTAATTGAATTTGGTAACTGTAAGAGTTTTTTGTAACAGCAGTGAAGTTTGATTGTATAAAACCTTTTTCTGAAAGGTTGTATCAAACTTGAGAACTGGGTAAGTTTAATTTAAGCCATAGATTTATAGTGCTTTTTAATTTAACTTAATTTAATTATTTAATATAGAAGTTAACATTTATAAGGATTGAAACAATAAATAAAATCCTAAAGCTAATTATAAGTGGTTTATTTGTTCTATCAAAATAATTGTAGGTTAGCTAGAAAACAACTTCTTATCTATTTAGAAGGTCCAGATCAAATCCTGTAAATCGCTAAAGACACTTAATTATGTTTTGGTTTTGATGCAGGTGTTCATCATAGGACCTGTGAAACAGGTGCGGAAAGCCGAGGCTATGTTGAGGGGAAGAATGATGCAAATTTACTAAAGAGGTTACTTGATTTTACAGAGTCTATGTTGAGGGGAAGAATGATGAAATGTACTAAAGTGGTTATTTCTTTACAGTGATAGTTACAGGCCTCAAAAGATTTTGACTTGGTTGTCTGCGCACATTCCTCGGCCTAACATACTGTATATCTGTATAGTAATGATAATTTACAAACGGAGCTAATGCCGGTACCTAAGGGGTGGTAGGCTCAAGACCAAGTCTAATGCTTCTGGTCTGAACTGCAAAAGTTTTAATCAAAACAGTACTGGAATTGGCGTCTTTCTTCTAAGTTGTATTACCTGTTGCTGTTGGTTTGCGTCTATATGCCATGTTTTGCCTATGGGCAAAGGTTGTGATTATTATTAATTTTTAGGGCTGAATTATAGTTTTTCTCAAACATGGCAAATGTTTCAACTCAGTTCAATACTTTTTGTTTAAAAAAAAAAAAAAAAAATTTGAATATTCAAAATTTTTGAATTATTTTTTGTTTAAATTTTTTTCTATATTTTCAAAAAAATGATATAAAATTCTTTATTTCTATTAACTCATGTAACATGTAATGTTAGACGTATATTTGACTTAAATTTGCTAATATGTTGTCCATACCGACACCTACATTAAGGTGTAATCACATCAGTGTTTTCTTAAATCTCTCTTTTACCTCCTTGGTCGACCGTCTTTTTCTTGATAACTTCATGGTCTTCTTCTTCGCAGGTACCTCTCTCCACTGTTTGTTGAAGTAAAAAAATTTCTCCCATCTTCTTCTTGAAAGTAAACATTCTTCATTAATTAAATGGTCATAGTGGAAAAGAGATGAATTTTTATGTTAGGAACTCCTTCCCAATGAACTACATAATCTTCATATATCAAATACATAATCTTACAATTAGGATTAAATAGAAGATTAAAAAGAAAAAACCAAAATTGATTACATTTTCTTGCATCTGAAGTATTCCTTACTCCTTACCAAATATGTAACGTTAAAGCAGAAGCACAAAACTTCTCTGAGTCACCAACTATAACAAAATCCTACCTCTTATTACATTTTCAACAGACGGATCTGCTCTACTCTCCTCACTTGAGTCCTAACCCAAACCTTCAAAAGCAATCTATATGATATAGAATGTCTCTCATGTCTCGAAGACGAACTAGAAGACTAGGTGTATCCCTGGGAGCAAACGATGTCGGCCTCTATGAACAACTTCATGTCTCTGTGCTCTTGCTCTCTCCATGCCCTTTGCCTACAACCGACAACTCATCGAATATTCTTCTCGAGCGAGATTGTAGCAGCTGCACATCACTTCTGTATGTTGTTACTATTCTTCTTGGCTAGTTTCCCATTTTTCCCCGGCTCTTCATATTTGATCCTCATTTGGCCCATCTGTTTCTTCTTCAACTCGCAAGTTTCTTATACACTCTTTTCCCACTCTTTATCAGTGTTTTTTTTGTCGAATTTGACACACCATGAGGATTGCTATGAAGGGCCTGAACACCAGCATTTGCTCTAATCTGTTCAAAAAAGAGGACTTGTACCACAGCCTGAAGCGGGAACTGTTCATTGTATATTGTCCAAAAAAAAAAAAGCTTTTGTTTTTCTCATGGTTGTTAGTGTTCATTCTATTCTATAGATTTCATCAAAAGAGAGTCTACTCTTGGACTAGATAGATTAGTGTTGCTAACAGAGTGCAAAAGAGGAGACAATGGGAAATTTTTTTGGTTTGGAGTACAGTGGAGGGTGGTACCTGCAAAGAAGAAGAAGAAGACCATGAAGCTGTGAGGAAAAAGAGGCCGATGTGGGGAGATGAAGGGGTTAGAAAAATGTTGATGTATACGCTGATGTAGGTGTTGACGTGAACATCATGTCAACAAATTTAAAATTGATTTATACGGGACTTCACAAGTTACTTTAACACATAAACACGTCCAAGCAGAGTCAGTGAAAATTAACAAAGACGAAAAATTTTGTTTCATTTTTTGAAGTACAAGAACTTTGAGTAAAAATCAAGTCTAAATGTCAAAGAAGTCTCCCTTAATTCCTCCAAGGGCCAAAGAACTCTCTCTCCCTCTCTATATATATATACACACACATATATAAGCCAGAGTCTTGCCTGAATAAAGTTTACTCTTTAAGACAACACCTTTGGTGTCCAGATAACATCTCTGGCTCTCAAGTGATTTATGCAGACTCAACATAATGCCTGGCCCTATAGCCAGACACTCATATTCACCATGATAAGCCAATGCACCATATTATGCTGCCCCATGCACGGTGAGGATTATCTCTATCATGGTAGGCCACTACAATACATAACATACATATGAATATATTTATAAGAATTTATATAAATTATTATGTATATGTAATTATATTTAAAAATATAAGCTGTATAGTTATATACATAACAGGTACACAACAAATTATGTAGATCATGTGTGGGTATGTACATATCACAGTTTATATATATAAAAAATAGTTATACTATAATATATAACAGTTGTTTATATGTTTAGTATTATAATTAAAATAGATTATTTTAATTCTGATATGATTTAGTATTATAATTATTTTAAAATTTTAATTATTACATTAATTCTATAATTCTATTAAAATTACATCACCTAAATTAGCGTAAGCCAAACATTCCTTTGACAGATAAAAACTTCATTATGGTAATATCCACTGTAAATTCATTAGCTATAATTGTCTCTTCTCACCATTTTACTTGCAGAAGAAAAAAATTGACAGCAATACCATCCCATCCATAGGCATCTAATCTAACTTACTGAATCACTCACTTAATAGATCATACAAGAAGAAATTTATCTTTTTTTTTTTTTAACTTGTGGGGGGATAAGAAATTTTTATCCCACGGAAGGAAACAAATAACGAAGAACAATATTCAGTTATAATCAGCATATGATTTAATGTAATTATGAACAACTGCACAGCAACATGAATATGATCAACTCTTGAAATATTAAGCCAAATTGGCAGAAGAATATATTCAATGAAATACCAGACGCTGACATGACAAAGTGAAGAGGGATATCACTTCTGAAAGCTACCAAACTGGTGCTTTTGGCCATTGAGGTTTGAGAAGAAATCATCTCCGCTGAATGTCTCCTGCGTAGGAAATCCAGTTTTGCCGAGACCTGAACCTGTACCCATTGCTCTTCCCATGTAAAAGGAGGTGGGAGCTCCTCTCTCTCTTTCATCTGACCCATCACTTAATCCACCCACGACACCAACATCTGCCAATGAAACTTTCTTGGCTGCAATTTCAATCAAACAGCAAACAAGGAGAATTTTCAGAGTCTTAAGATCAGATAACATTCAAAGGGTGTCACAACAGAAAAGAACATTGGTAATAAAGAAAATCTACTTACGAGCAGTTATGTTGAGGTCAATCAGTCCACGGGTCAGAGAATCTGCCCAAATTCCAGATTTCAACTGGAAAGTTTCCTTCTTTGGAGGCGGCTTAGAATCTGCCGAAGAGTTTCCAGTCAAGTTGTCAACCGTACTGCTTTTCATTGGACATTGTGCAGGTTCCATGGATATGGGATCAGAATGGGAAGTGAATACCCCAAACATATCAGATCCATCAAAATTATTTAGTGGAATTGCAGC